TTCATTCCTTTTGTCAAAAATCTTTACCCTTCATTTTGAGCCCCCCATTACATTTTGATACAGGGCCCGTCTAAGGCACGCTACGCTACTTCTTGCACTGCTCAACAGGCACACAAACGAAGGAAGGAATTTTGGACCGTATTGTTACCTGCGACGAAAAATGGAGTCTGACAGTCGCAAGCGCTCAGCAAGTTGGTTCAATCATGGTTCAGCGCCTAAACAATGCCCTAAATGAAAACTTACCGCTATAAAAGTGATGGTCACTGTCTGGTGGTCTAGCGCCGGTGTGATTCATCACAACTTCTTATCAAACGGGATGAGCGTTAAAGGGATAGAGTAAGTCAGCTCAAATTCTAATTTCGTCCCCACTTGCCCGCGCGTCGTATGCTATGTACCGACATGTTTGTAATCACTAATACTGTAAGTAGAAAGGTCGTTAGACACTTATTTCATTAGGTTTATCATATTTATGCCTGTTTCTTAACGCCAAGCTAGTCGCTTCTTATTTTTATTACGGTTATTTCCCATTTTAATTTTACGTCGTCCTGTTGCGTAATGTATATTCTGATCGTAAGCGACACAACCTCCCCGTTCAAAGGCCGAAGCGAAGTGACCGTGCGGCAGGAATCACGCTTCAAAAGGCCGATAGTTTAGGTAATTTCTTTTTACAGTGAAAATAATGGTATTTTAAAAAAAGTAAATAACATAAGCACTGCTTTACAGTTAGTTCAGTTAGTATGCAAAGTTTCATGACCTTATTTAAAGTATTTTATGAATAACAGCGGTTTATTGTTTATTTTGGAGGTGACTTTGGTTTTTTTTTCTATCGAGAAAAATTTACGAAATCGTGTTTTCGTCTAACATAATCCTTAAAATTAATCCTCAAATTTACCATATATTTATTTCAAAATTAATGCTACAATATTTTCGGCATAACGAAGGATCTTGCTAAGCCATTTGAGGTTATATTTCCCCTAAATGCAGATGTATACTTGTAAAGGACTGAATAAAATGATGGAGAAGCTCGCACGTCTCCAACAAGCTTTGTTCAATCGTTCGTCCCAGCTGCTCCTGCATGATGACGCGCGACCTCATACAGCATAACAGACGGTCTCCAAGTTACAAGAGCTGGGGTTGGAAGCTCTCCGTCATTCACCGTACTGACTAGACCTTGCGCTTACAGACTTCTACTTTTTTCAGAATTTGGAGAACTTTTTGGCGGGAAAAAAAATTCAATACCCGAAAGTACAAAATGCCTTTGCAGAATTTGTTTTGTTGCCTGTCCAGCTGATTTCTTCAAGAAGTGCTTCAATGAACTGCCACTGAGTTGGCAAAGATGCATCGATTGAATGGGTAATTTACTTTCAATAATAGAAATAAAAAATATAGAAAAAAATTACGTTATTTCATACAAACCGCCAATTTCATAAGTAAAGACCTAATATTTCGGTCACATTTACATTTGATGAAAGCTGGAAAAACAGCTTGAGTTCTACCGTGGCAACTGATGCACGCGTCGAATTACCAGATTTTTAAACAAACTGTCAAACAAAACAAACTGTGTTTTGACAGTTTGTTTAAAAAAACACTAATACAGAGCACTCTGCCTGGATTAAGAAATTTTAACATTGGTCTTTTCATCAATAGTTGAGTTTCGTAACGTTTATCCTTGCAACTGTCACTGTAGAGTACAAAAAGCAAGCTACAAGAAAGCTATTTCTCTGAAGTTCTTTTTTTTTAGATTTGCCAAGTGGTGATGGTAAGAGAATCCATCAACTCATTTCAACCCATGGTTGTCGTTAAAGGTGACCGTAGGAAATGGCGCAAAAAAAAACCTTTTTATTTTAATTGGAGAGGGGGGAAACGAGCATGCGGCTCACCTAATGTTAAGTGCCTACCGCCGCCCATGAACAACTGCAACACCAGGAGAACTGCAGGTGCGTTGTCGGCCTTTTAAAAAGGAGTTACTCTTTTCTTTAAAAGTCCCGAAGTTGTATAAAGAATCTCTGGTGGTAGATTCCACAAAGAAGTCGTGCGAGGAAGAAAACTTCTGATGAATCACACAGTGGTCCATCTCGTTTATGGCAGACGTAAAATAACCTGACCGGCGATGGAAAACAGCACCCTTAAGGGTGTGCGTTTCCGAGTTTCCACCCTAGGGTGGTTTTTAGGGTGCATAAGCTGAATAACCCAAGGGAGCGAGACTTCTGGTACTCTAATCGTCAATCCGCAAGACAAATCCACAGCGGGAGAGGCTCACCTATATCCAAAAATAGACTTTTAAAAGAAAAATCTGTGGTTTCTAAGAGTTCCAGAGTTCCAATACATGTAGTTGTCTTTAAAGTGAAATTAAATTAAAAGCATTATACAAATTAAAAAAACATTTATTATTATCAACTATATTGTTTATAATTATTAAATGATACTATACAAAATATAAAACTTTAAAGCTAGCGCAGACTTGCACGTAATATCTGATTTATGAAAGAGCAGAACTATATGAAGTAACTAAAACACTGCAAACACACGTTAAATAATGCTTTAATTATCATCCTCCCTCATTGCAATTAATAATAATGTCAGTTACACAATGTTGATGGTCAAGATTTATTTTAACATTAAACACACATCGTAACATAGCCTCACATTTTACACAACAAGTTATATATCACAACCATAATGGATTTTGTACACTTATATTTATCGATCAATGCTCATAATAAAAATTACATTAGCAGTTTCTAATTCTATAAAATATTAATACACTTTTCAAAAATATCAAAATTTGATATACATTGAGTAAAAATACATAGTAAAAAGCTAAAATTTGGTGTAATATTTAAAGACAATAAAGACAAATGTAACAGACATACATCTTGTTTTATATGGCACAATCATTATTTATTTTCAACATCATAATCAAAGTCTATGTCATGGATGTTTAACATGCGGAATAAAAAAATACGAGATTCTGATCAGTCTTTTTATAACTGTTTTCTTCATAACAATTAACGCGGATATTTATATACAAAAAAAGGTAGAGATAAAGGTAAAGAAAGAAAAGATACGTTACTAGCAACCCTTTTGCTTGCACACATTGAAGCGTCGGGAAGTGTTCCAGTAGCCAGCCTATGGAGTGTAGAAGTAAGGAGTACAGACTGTGTATTAAAGTGTCCATAGAAAACCGTTAAATGAGAGTGGCGCCACTATAGCTACGGGATAAATTTTAAAGAACGCACCGAAAAATATTAGTGGGATAGACGACTTTTTCGAGGTTATAAATAAAGTTATTTTAGATTTTAGAGCTACTGAGCAGTTTAGCAGTTTTAACACACTTAAACCGTCGACAACTGCTAAGTTCATTTCATCCCAGTAGCTACTCCAGCGCTGTTGTGGAGAGTTTTTGAAATGTTATTTACTGCTTACAGATGACCACTTTTTCAAATATTTTACTATGGGAGTTGGTACTCCTTGCTTCTACACTCCATAAGCCAGCCGTTGGCTAACAAATGTGACGCCATGATTGCGTAAGCTTAAAGAGAAGGACAACAATAGACGTTCCAGAACTGGTGCGATAAGAACGCGACGAGCGAGAGAATGTAGTGAAATGTAAGTAAAAGTGTGTGCTGCCGCTGGGTTTGAAAATTTGTTTCGGTGGTTTTGTGGGCATATAATGGGTATGTTCCAAAATAGAACCCAGTGTACTGTCCAATGCAAATGAAGTCATGAATCGACGTTATACTGTTGAGACGTTCCAAAACATAGGACAGTATATGACGTCATACATTTGCGACATATTGGAAAACTGTTGGCGATTATTTTGTCATTTTGTGCTCCAGAAATCATTATATCCTCCTAATGGAGATTCCAGCAATTATTCTATATTTTTTTTGTATTTTAATAAATAAAAACTAATTCTGGCATGCTTCATTCAGCGCACACACAATTAAAAATTGTTTTATTATGGCCGGATATCCGACACAATATGGCGGCGGCAGTACAATATAGTGTCAATTGATAACGTCATTTGTATTCGGCAGTATACTGAAAACGTTTCGGAACATACCCAATATATCTATAAAAATATCATTGAATTTGACCGCCGACGGATCGTTGCTACTGCATTACCGTTTAAATAAAAGTTTGACATTTTATGTATTCTCTTCGCATGGGAACTAATAGTGGATACGACGAAACAAGTACTCCGGGTGTTAAGGAAAACTTCAAATTATTTAATCCGCTTAGGCGCATTAAGAATTTAAGGTACTGTCGTCGAAATTTCTCGAAAACTCGGCAACGTGATGATGTGTGATCACCATATTTTGGAGTCGTTGAAAAAGTTATTATAAATGATAATTCATATATCTTGACACAAAAAAAAAGAAAAGGTACGAGTTTAAAAAGACAGTAGAGTATTTTGGGGCCAGTTTGATCATAGGAAAGTAAACCTTAGTTTTATATCACAATGATACGCATCAGCAATCACGTTTGAGATATTCTAATTTGAACTTTTCTTACTTACTAAAAATAAATTCTTACTTATTAAAAATACAGCCATAACTACTTAACATGCGTGATACAAATTTTTTCATTAAACAGAAATGCACTTGTGTATGTTATAATAAAAAAAGTATTATTTCTTAATATTAATGGAGTCTTGTAAAAACTCCCCGTCTAAACTCTGATTTTACTCAACAAATAAAGTGAACATGTAATATCACACATTTAGATATGGATCATTCTAAGAGTTATTTAATCAAAATAGCGCTAAAATACATAAAGCTTCCAGTATTTCCATGCAATATAACAACACAAGACAAGAAATTTTTTATTTTCAGGCTATATAAATAATCTGTTTATAAATTGAACATGATTGTCTTCAGTTTGACAAGATGTCCAATAATTAAAACAAATTGTGAAGAATTTGACCCGTTTTACTTTTGTGTTTCCAATATGTTTTCAGTAAAAACACTTTTACGTTAGTCATAACTAAATTTCACTTACTCCCGTGAAGGATCGTTATTAGCTGCTACTGCTTGAAGCCAGTAACGACTAATTTGACTTTCAATAGACGGTGTACTTTCCTTTCGAGCATTTGCTGCACGGGCTTTTCTCTTTGACTTGCTGTGTTTGGTACGTCTACGTCCAACCTTTGTTTTCATTTCTGCAAACTTTACGGAGACCTGGCTGTCGAGAGAGTTGCGCCGTGACTCAACTGATACATGACGGAGACTGATACTGATTTGAGAATCTTGTGAATTCCTTCGGTCTGGAGTCGAGCTTAGTGAATGGTGTGTATGTGCTGGGAGAACTAATGCGTCACGCCGTCTCACAAACCGCGGCAAATTTGCTGCCCATGATGATGATAACTCCCCGCTATAATAAAAGTAATTTTTTTTAGTAAAAACATGCTGTGAAATGAAACCGTGTTTAAAATTCGTAAATGCAACTGTTCATTTTTACCAAGTTTATATAATAGTCCTGAGCTAAATTTAGTTTCAAATCTCTAACTCATGGGGAAGTTAGTTTAAAATCGGATTACTAAATTTGTAACAGACTAACAAAATAACGGATAGACAAGAATGTGAGTTTATATTGCATTGTTGTGCAACCCTGAGCTATATTTAAATTTAAAAGTCTGTAGCTAGTCCCTAGTTAAATAGTATATTTTTTTACTGAATTATTAATATGCTCAGTGATAAAGGAAACTAACATTAACACCTATATTTATGGAACAACTTCGCTTATCGGAACTAGGGCAGTAATGCCTATTTTCAAACAGTCAACTCACTGCTAAATGTTTTTAAAGTTACTATCGAAGTCAAAAATTTAAACCACGCAATAATAATAAAAAATACCATACTCATCTATTCGGTACTCATGTACCGAATACGATAGATGAGTGGTAAGATGAGCAATAAAGATGCTTAATGGCTCTCATTTGACTTTCGGTTTCAGTTGGTTCTAGAATAAGAATCGTGAAATACCATTAGCTAATCGGGATTTTTGAAACCTTTTTAATCCTTAGCAATATGACATGCATAATTATGTAGTATTTATAGCTTGAATATTTGAAGTTGATTATGAGTTTCCAAAGGTTGAACTTAGTGTTTAGTACTCCCCTAACCATCAGATGGATTGTTAGATAGTTTGTTTTATTTAAACCATCTGCAGCTAAGGATGATGAAAGTATAATTAAATAAAAATTATTAATTACTTTGCAACCTTCCGCTAACTAAATACAATGATGTGTCTTACCTGGATTGAATAGCACCTCCCGCTCTAAGACACACCATCGACGACAATATGACACGTGTTTTACCTCTGCACGAGGCATCCTCAGGTGATGTAAACTCTACAGCGGCTGACCGCTAAGTAAGGTGTGTCTTACCTGGAATAGTGGTGTTGGAAGTAGTGGTGCCGGGAGTAGTGGTGCTGGGACTAGTGGTGTCGGAGTTAGTGCACGCAATTGATGGAGGGCGGGAGGTGCTCTTCAATCCAGGTAAGACACATCATTGTATTTAGTTAGCGGAAGGTTGCAAAGTGATTAATATTTTTATTATAATGGATTTCCGCAAAGTAACGCCTGATTCTATCAAGTATAATTAAACTCACCTTTCATGCTTGGCGTCGTCGTGGCAGTCGATGGGCGCGGTGTGGTCGAGGCAGAGGCCGACGGGGTCCTGGCGCGACGCGCCCAGCGATATGGAGATGCGGCCGCGCGCCGCGAACTCGCCTCGGCGCCGGTACGCGCGCGCTATTAGCTCGTCCTTGCGCGCTCTACGGGTGCCGTCCGTTTCCACTGAGCACCCGCACTTTCTGAGGATATTCGTTCACTGTAGCGTCAAAATGATCGCCATTCCTTTAAACTAATCATAAGAATATACTCATGATAAAAAATATAATGTAACTAAAGTATCGCAAATCACAAACAGTTTACAAATGATATTATTTATTCTTTAAGTGACCATTATTGCAAATAAGAAAAAAAATTAACAATAATAAGCAATAATAATGTATATATATTATATATATATGTATGTATGTATGTACTTTATATATATGTATATTTTAATGTGTGTATGTATGTGCACTTATTTATTTATAATGGTCGCACCTGCCAACAATTGTCCTTGGCACCCAGGGTTGACTGGCAGAGAATGCCACATTGCATTAACTCCGCCCTACGTACCCTTTAGCTAAAGGTGACATGTAAGTTTTTAAATAAATAAATAATAAATCGTAAACTCCCAAAATGTTGCAAACACAGTTCATCGGTCAGGAACAATGGTTAGCCCTACAGAGGCAAATTCAAGACCGCTTATATTTGAAACGAATTAGACAAAGACATAAATGCCTATGAATCACACTCGCTAGAGGTTACCATACTTTACTTCTTTTTTACTTTGTTTTGTTGGTAAAAGATAAAAGTATCTGCATCGTTAGTCGTTACTAATTTATTTTAAAATATTCTCAACATGAGCAAATAGCCTAAATGAATTCCAATGATTTAAAACTCATCCCGAGCGTAAAATATAATAAAACAGACGACGCGGGAAAAGGCCCAATTTAACTGGCCTTTTTCTGGCTTTCTGGCAATTTTCTGGTGATTGTGGAGTTGGAATGTCTCTTACGATAAAATATGTCGGAATATGTACAGAAATATATAATAAATCGATATTTCGTATCAATGAATGTCTCTACGAAATGCGTCGTATATTATATTCGTAACAGTGTACTGTAGATTAAATCCATAAATAGATGATTTTCAGAGTAGTGTAGTGTAGTAAATAGTGGGTGATTTTTTTAAGCGTCTGGAAAAAAAATAGGGTGTAACAAGTGAACGGAATAGAAGGCTATAGCCAGTGGCGAAGCTACAGCTTCAAGCTAGGGCAAGCCCAATATATAAATTGATAAAAATATAGATTCTTGTTTTTAGCAGTTTTATAAAAATACACCAATCTTGATCTGTTTCCACGCTTCAGTTTCATATTCAGTGCTGTCAAGGACGTGTTTAACAAAGCACACAGAAGGCATACGACTGCTAGATAGATTGTATTACATATCAGCAATTGCATAGCTTCGGTGGCTTTGTAGAAAGCCGTTTGGGTTTGTTTAAGCGAAAGAAAAAAAATATTTACATCCAATACAATACATGAACAAAAGTAAAACACGAACAAAGTACAAACAAACTATGTACAAAATTAAAAAAAAATTATTTACATTCTAATGGTTAAGAGATAAGATAAGATAAGTGGAATCGTCTCGCTTTCTTATGGAAAGATTTAATTACGTCCACGTAAAATGTTGGTGAACGTTTTAATTTTACCAATAACTGTTTTTAATTGCGATAATTGACAAGTCTCAAATACACTCTTAACCTTGTGTATTATCTCAACAAAGTTTAAGTTTCCTCTCCGATTATCACTTTAACACACTTCAATTCATCACAAGGAACACTATTATCCTCCATTTTCATTAAAAATCTTTAAAAAAGCATAAATTTTGAACTCGTAATATTAAATCGCTTAAGATAAGCACACAGAGTAAATAAACATTGAAACGTGAAATGAACTTGCAAACGTATTGCCCGCGCGCCTCCGCTTTTAACAAATTTATTCCCAAAAGCCTGGCTTTAAATCTCTATACTAATTGCTATATATACAATCGTAATTATATTTCATTATAGAATATTTTGCCATAGGTTAGAAAGAGAGCGATCGTATTCTCGAAAGCCCCGTAAAAAAGCTAGCGCGAGCGAGGGAGACAACTATTAGCTCTATTAAAACTCATTTTTTATGACAGCAGCAGTATCGCTAAGGCAATACGAGGTCATCGGTCGACATGTGTCGAACAGTGGAGTGCGCGGGAAATTTGAAATAGCTTGAAACATTTTACGAGTTATTTTATTAGTTGATATTATTGATTGATTCAGGTTTAATAAGGCAAGCCCGGCTTTTCGGTTTTAATGGAAGCTTCGCCACTGGCTATTGCACTGATATTTTACAATTTTTTTTATTTTACATTTACATATTATGAAGTTGATCTATCGTTAAATACTACTAATATAAAATAAACTTTCGGTACTAAAAATACATAATATAAACACTCACGCCTGTCACCCAGAGGGGTAGGCAGAGACTACGGACTTCCATTTGGCACGATCCTGACATACCTCTTTCGCCTCCTTTACATCCATATATCTATGCATACATGCTCGTCGGTTAAGGGTACTTCTAACGTGGCCCATTTTCAAAATATCGCCAATTTGGTCGATAAACTTTTTTCTAGGGCGTCCCTTCCCGACTCGGCCGTTCACATCTGCCATATAAATTTGCTTTGTCACGCTTTCCTCATTCATTCTTTCTACGTGACCAAACCACCGAAGCATTCCTTTCTTAATCCTGGTCACAACATCATCTTGCATACCACATTTATCTCTGATCACGCAATTTCTCACCCTGTCATTCAGATTCAACCCTAGCATATTCCTTAAAGACCGCATTTCTACAGCATTTATTCTACTTTCGTGCTTCTTCTGCCACACCCAGCTTTCACTACCATACAATAAAGTAGGTACTAACACAGCATTATGAATTACCATACGTGCCTGTTTTGACACATTCTGGTTCTTCATAATAGAGTGTAGTGCCCCATTCACTCTATTCCCTGCATTTACTCGTCGTTCTATATCCCTATCATATCTACCATCCCTGCTAAATACACAAACTCATCCACTTGCTCAATTAACTCTCCTTCTATTCTTATTTCACATACCGTTTTGCTTTCTTCTCTTTCAAAAACCATTACTTTCGTCTTACTTGCGTTCACTTTCATTCCCCTTTCTTTTAATTCCCAGTTCATTAATGTAACCATCATTTCAACTCAGCCGCCGATGACGCAAATATGACTTGATCATCGGCATACAAAAGGCATTTGACGGTTAACTCGCCCATTCTTAACCCACATTCTTCATCTTTCAAAGTTTGCAAACACCGGTCCATAAATAGGTTGAACAGCCAAGGGGAAGCTACACAGCTCTGTGACACCTTTTTGGATGCCAAACCAGTCCGAGTAGACCCCATTGATCCTGACACAAGCACTAGTCCCTATAAAGAGACCTTAATGCTCGTATCAAACCAGCCCTCAACCCATATGAGTTCAGTGTTTGCCATAACACATTCCTGTCCACTCTGTCATAAGCCCTTTCCAAGTCCATGAACGCACAAAAAACTTTCCGGTTTTTGGCCAAAAACTTATCCGCAATCATGCGCATGGAAAAGACTTGATCTGTGCACCCCATTCCCTTTCTAAAACCCGCTTGCACATCCCAAATTTTTCCATCAGTTTCTTTCATAACTCTTTCAATTAACACCTTAGCATACAGTTTACCCACAATACTAAGCAAGCTGATACCACGGTAGTTTTTGCAGTCCTGCTGTGACCCTTTTCCCTTATATATTGGTACTATAACTGCTTTACACCAGTCATCCGGTACCCGTTTTAATTCCCAACATAAATTCAACAAGGTGTACAGCAGGCCTGCCACCACTCCCTCTCCAGCCCTTAGCATCTCGAGTGATACTCTATCATATCCAGCTGCCTTACCTGCTTTCATGCTTTTCATTGCTTTCATTATTTCATCTATACTTATCTCCATACCCCTTTCCACTTCTTTCGGAATTTCTAGTTCATTTAATTCAGACGACTCTTCACTCATAAACACGCTTTCAAAGTATTCCTTCCATCTGTTTAAAACTAACTCGAAACTTCATCATTCAGAATACATCCATTCTCGTCTCTTATAGCATTTATTATAGGCTGTTTTGTATTTCCCCCTGGCAGTTCTTACGAGTTTCCAGAACATTTTTATGTTAGCCTGGAAATTATCAGATATCCTTCTATCATTCTTATCGGTTCTTTCTTTCTTTTTCCTTTCAACAACTTCTTTTACTCTCTTATTTAGACGTCTAAATTCTGCCTTTTTTCTTTCAATCTCATCATTCATACCAGAAGAATTACCGGCTTTGGTTGCTAGTAAATCTAACCATGCTATACTATGCATACTAAAAATAATTAATTTTTTTTTGAATTTAATAAATAAATAAATTAAAAACTATCAAAATTAAATGAATACATACCCAATAACTGGTATTTATTGATAGATCAATTTCATAATTTGTTAATTTAAAATAAAAAAAATTAAAATATCAGTGTCATAGGCTTCTATTCAATTCACCGGTTACGCTCTATTTTTTTTCCAGAAGGTAAAAATAGTCATCCAGTATATATATTAATAACAGTAAAAAGACAATGAAAGTCTGTATCAAAGCGATATGCTTTTGTGGGTTCTTTTTTAATAATCCTAACATAAAACAACAATCAATATATACAGAGTTAGCATTCTTAGGACCTACATTTCCCATTACCTCGCCATATACCGCCTCCAGGCAGACGCGGCGACGGGAGTCCAGGTCCAGGAGGCCATGAGCGCGCCCGCCGCGAAGCAGCACAGCAGCCGCAGCTGCAGCACCGACACCGAGGGCCGCGCGCCCACAGAACACTCCAACTCACTCTCCTTCAATGATTCTAAGCGACAGCTGAAACAATCATTATTAACCTCAAATTTGAAAACTGTTATATGGGATAATTTTAAGGTTGTAACCTACCGCATTCGGGCTGTAGCCCATATACGCCCCACTGCTAGGCACAGACCTCCGCTCACTTTTGAGGTTTCTGGGAGGTGAGATCTGATTTTAGTAGATTCTAACTCAAACAATTTACTATCAGATGAACTGTGACACCAATTTTTTCCCTTACCTATACAAGGGTGTCCCAGAAATCAACGTCAAGACGGAAACGGGGAATAGGCCAAATTGTGACAGTTATTATAAAAATATAAATAAAATTCTTGGTCATGTATTTTTCAAATTATAACGATTAAAAAATAAATCTCTAAAACTGACATCCTGTGATGATGTTTCAAGTCCTGTGACTACAAATATTATTTTTTGTCAGTTTGTTTCCGTGATGTAATCATGAATAACCCCTCTGTAAATTACAGTTAAAAGTTAGTTGATTTTTGCCAAACATTGAATTCAAAATAATTACATCACCCAATTTTAATCGACTGTACTGAAAAAAAGTGTTATTACACTGCCTGTTTTGGCATGTAACTTTTAAAAGATGGCGCGTTTAGTCTGGATTCCAAAATAGTATGAGACTTATTAATTTCTGCTTCTTAATTGAGGAAAAACAATGTTCGTACGAGTTCTACGTACGAGAATGAGATGAAGAGTGACGTCATTTTGACTAGTGTGTGCGACACAGATGATGACGCTACTTTGTTAAGTGTGAGCGAGATAGATAGTGACGATACTTTTATCCATAGAATACTATAATACACAATAGAATGGCTGTCAACCTTATTTTGTACGAAGATAGGTGTCGCCGGGAGCACACATACAAGTAATTATAGGTAACGCTACGAGTTATGGAAGTGCGCAGAACCGAAAAATAGGTGTCGGCACGGTGAGGTGTGAGGTACGGGGAAGCGAAACCATAGCAACGAGCGACGCGCTACTCCCAAATAGTTTCTTCCTGCGTCCCGTCGCTCGCGCACCTTCTTATGTCGTCTTGTGTACTATCGATATCGAAAGTGTTAGCGACTACCTGTTATAAAATTTTAAATTTTTGCGATTATTTTTGTACCTTTAAAAATATTGTTCTATAATATTTTCAAATAGTGTGCAAATATTTATTACTTTATAAATTATTTTGGGACTATTTAAAATAGCGTAGTTCGTAGTATATTGTATAAAGTTGTAAATATTTTGTTATTTTCTACACGATGATTTTTTTTTGCAAATTATTGCATGTAAAATATCCTTATAATCGAAGGCTATCGCATAGTATAGTTTAAACAGCAATTACAAATACAAAAATACAAATAAAAAATATTTTATTTCTTTAACTAAGTGTACATAAAATGCAGAATATTATTTAGAAGCAGTTAAAACCTAACGATGATATATAAATATATCGTTCAGTTTTCGTGTGAAGACTTTGATGTGTAGTTATAATGTTGACCTTTCGTGTGAAGACTTTGATGTGTAGTTATAATGTTGACCTTTGACTTTTTACTTAAAATGCCATAATAAAATTTTCATTTTTCTGCTTGATTGTACATGCACAGTGGACTCTATTTAATTTCATCCACAGATTACCTCCTAATAGATTCCGCATACAGGGCCACAAACGCGCGCAACACATACTTGCTGTAGCTAGCATATGAAGTGACGCTAAGAATCACGATATCATTGTCGACCAAGTTTGTGACCCGTAGGCACGTCCGAGTTTTTGAAAATTTAAAAATAATTTTGGTATCCAAAATACATTACAAATGGCTTCCTATGCAATGAAATGGTGTGGCAAGTCAGCTAAGACATCCAGTTATCAAAAAGATGGCATAATATTTCATCGGTAAGTAAATTTTATTCTTATCACGTTAACCTATTTCAAATGGACCGGAGTTCAACTTACACTGGAAATTAAATGTTGCGAAGTGATATCATTTGAGCACCCGTTGATGTCTTTTTTAATATGTCCCTTTCACTCATTACGTAAATTAAAATAGTTATCTTTGTCTAACGACAGCACGTGTATCGATAGTGTTGTGAACTACAAGTCGATATTTGTTTGGTCATAGTTTACTTTTCTTTTGTAGTCATTATTTTATACAAATAGTGGCGTATAATTGTGGTACCTATATGTTATAGGTTTCCTAAATGCCCCGAAAGGAAAAGATGTGGATCGACGCTATATGTCGAGGGGATCAATGGTTGCCCACCAAAAATAGTGTGCTATGCTCAAGACACTTCACAGAAGACAATATTCATATTATGAAAAACCGTATAAGGCTGTTGGATTCCGCTATACTATCTCTATACTTGCCAGTTTTAGTATGGAATTTTACATTTTTTAAAAAGTATAATACCAATGGTGAAAATTACACAATAAGTAATAGCATTAAGTGGTTGATTGAAACGTGATATTCTAATATTTAACGAATTTACTGCTACTGTGAATTGAATGCTACACGTCGAAATTAAACTATTTTTAACGGATTTATAAACCATAAAACAAGTGAAAGTTATAATGTGATTAATGTTATTCTTGTGTTGCATGAACTTCAGTAATATCCTATTATTATTATTATTAAGTACATCTAAATTTGAAACAAGTACCGTATGGTTTTTTAATTAATAATACTACTTTTAGGTGCAAAACTAAGCAAAAATACTGTCACCACCGAAAGGACATATCAGAACACACACAAAGGATTCACACATTTTGTTAGTGAGATAAAAAACATACATCTCGCTGATAATGAAACTATGGTCAGTTTTGGTGGTCAGTCACTATTCAGATGCCTACTTGTTGAAGACTGCTTCTTAATTGTAACTAGGAAGCTACAAGATAACAACATGCTTGCAGAATATGCAGTATTACGCAAACACTGCTTCACATCTGACTATCTGTTGTAGAAGGAAGAGTTCTACAAGCAAGTTGATGGTGTAGCGATGGGCTCACCTGCATTTCCTATAGTCGCCGACATATATCATGGAGGACTTTGAGGAGAAACCCTTCTTACTGCTCCTATAAATCCAAGATTCTACAAGCGGTACGTAGACGACACTTTCAAAATTTTACCGTCTGACAAAGCAACTGCAGTTTTAGACCACCTTAACTCCATAAGCTACAAAATACAAATCACGATGGAGTTAGAAGCAAATAATACTTTAGCTTTCCTAGATGTTTTAGTCATCCGAAATCCTGATAACACTATTGGTCATACTATGTATAGGAAAAAGGCCTATACCAACCGATATTTAAATGGTGAATCTCACCATCATTCTTCATAGTTTGCTACTGTGGGTAAATATTTGTTTACAGAGAGCACAAGGGATCTGTGACAGAGCTTCAGCATGTCAATCAATTATTGCAAGACAACAAGCTTTGGGTCCGAAGCCTACGTCACAGCGACCGAGTGAAGCCGGCCACAGTCGGCGGATCGGTGCTGCCATCTGCTTGGTATCCTATAATTAACAAAATCTATCCAAAACCAAGCATACCATTGCAAGACTTCAAGATACTGTAAGCTCGTTTTATGTAGATCGGGACCAAAAATCAATATTCAAAAAGTGAAGATAGCCGGGACTTACTATGATATTGAGATGTCAAACATTTAAGTCCCCCCTCCCCCCGTGACCATAAATTAATTAAACGCGATAAAATCCATTTATTTTTTAATAAATTTCGAATAAAAGTTGATCAATTCATTTATTTAGCAATAATCAATAAATCCCAAATTTATCGATCAACGTCCCAACCCTGTCTCATCACTATGGTTCGGAGCATTCTAAGTTCAACCTTGAATTATCCAATCACAGCACATTTGACGCGTCCCCCGCAACCCGAAATTTGGTGAAATCGAAACAGAACAAATATTCCATGATGCGGTATCTATGAGGAGGTAATCTGTGATTTCATCTTACGTGGCACGACCTATACGTCTTATTATCACTACTACACACCCGATTCGGTTTGTTGACAGACTGAGCGAATTTATACATTTTAAACTTTTGATTAATGTTTTTGACACATCAATATTTCTTTATGTTTGTTTCTAATATTCACAAAATATAAATAGTTTCGACTTACTGGTTGTTGGATATGTCTCCTTTATTTAAACTCCATTTCCCGCTGTTCTTTCGACACGTATTTGCACAATTTGCAATTTTTTTAAATAATTTGTATGCAGCGACGCTTGACGTGAAAATTGGAAACGATTGATTGTGTTGACATTTATACGTGTGAATTGACGTGTTAGTGACATATTAGTGGCTACACGGGTTCCGCCCACTCCCCCGTTCTATTAGGTATGTATTATAGTATTCTATGCTTTTATCTAACAGCGAAACGATTCACTCTGGTGAAACAGGGATGCGTAGATATTGTAAAATACTGATTACGTGACGCTCTTTCGTTTACTGTGCATATTTCTGTATTCGTATTGATTTCATTCTTACAACTGTGGCTTTGTTTATTGGACTTGATTTGCATTGTGATTTGGATTTATCTGCACCGTTTCTGACGACCCCGGACTTGGTTTAACCGTAATCCCGTGTTTGTGTAATATGTTACCATGCAATTTCGGTACACCGCACAGGAATACGTCAACATACATCTAATGGAGAATGCTCATGTAACGCCAATGCTGCAGCAAGAATGTACCGTGGAAGATACCCAAATTTTGAGCGTCATCCCGATCATCGAGTATTTATTAATGTGCATCGGTCATTATCAGAGGGTCGATTCCCTAGACAAATGGTTAGCAAGGGAAGGCCGATTATGCCCTACGAGGTACCAAATTATCTCAGTACGTGGAATTTAAGAGAGCATTGAAGTCTCCAAAATACTGCAAGTCGTATTTAAAAAAAGAGCTTTATCCATAACGTGTACGACGAGTACAAAGTCTGCTTCCCCGAGAGAGTGCGCTTTTGTCGAACGATGTTGCAGAGGCACCGGGAAGAACCGCGATTTTTTGAAAAAAATCTATGGTCCAATGAATCAACATTTAAAAAGGACGGTTACATGAATATCCACTATTCGCACGAATGGCACGTGGAAAATTTAAATTTGATGCGGGAAGACAGATAGCAGTACCAGTTTAAAGTGAACCTGTGCACGAGAATTTTGAATGGTAAATTTATTGGTCCAATCGAGCTGGCGGAGAACTTAATTGCCCAGGGTTATTTGGACTTCTTACAGAACCAATTACCAGATTTATTGGAGGAAGTGCCACTAAACATTTATGGCAGCATGTGGTATCAACAAGATGGCTGCCCAGCACATTATACTCTCACAGTACAACAGTTTCTCAATCGAGAATTGATCGATTGGTGGATTGGGCGGGGTGGCAAATTTTGTGGCCCGCCCGTTCACCCAACTTAAGCCCCATATTTTCTTTTACTGGGGCACGATAAAGGATAAAGTGTACTCTAAACCCACTCAACCAAAGAATTTCAGAAGGCGCTGAATACATCAACTCGAGAAGATACACCTGTATGAGACAGCGATCATTTTTAAACAGATGTAGAGCTTGCTTTGCAGCTGAAAGCAAACAGTTCTTCTTAATAATAATAATCGTTTATTTCCTATCACAGTGATACATAAAATAAAAACATGCTTACATTACTGTTTTATTTCTATGATATAATTATTGCAACATGGACCATTGTGAGGGAGCGGAACCCGTACTAGGATACCCTATGTTACAGTGTTCCGACCCTCACACTCGGACTTGATTCATATAGTTTAAACATTTGTTGCAAAACTTAGTAAATCTGATTTATCTAAGGATATTCAACAACTGAATTTTATTTCAATGCACCTAAAACTACAAATTACGTTTTTCCTCAATTCATCATCATCATCATCATCATTACAGCCCTTCACAAGTCCACTGCTGAACATAGGCCTCCCCCAACTAATGCCACAAAGCACGGTCCTGAGCCACCTGCATCCATCGACTTCCTGCATGTCTTATCAGGTCATCACTCTATCTAGTGGGGAGACTCCCTACACTTCGCCTGCCGGTACGAGGCTGCCACTCGAGAACCTTTCTTCCCCATTGGTTGTCGGTTCTTCGAGCTATATGGTCGGCCCATTGTTACTTCAGCTTACTAATTAGCTATGTCGGTCACTCTGGTTCTACTGCGGATATCATCATTTCTAAGCTTATCACGCAGAGAAATCCAGACCATCGCCTTCGCCATAGCTCGCTGAGCAACTTTGAGCTTTCTTATACAGCCAGAAGTGAACATCACTGTCTTACCAGGTCGTCACTCTATCTAGTGGGGAGACTCCCTACACTTCGCCTGCCGGTACGAGGCTGCCACTCGATAACCTTTCTTCCCCATTGGTTGTCGGTTCTTCGAGCTATATGGTCGGCCCATTGTTACTTCAGCTTACTAATTAGCTATGTCGGTCACTCTGGTTCTACTGCGGATATCATCATTTCTAAGCTTATAACGCAGAGAAATCCAGACCATCGCCATCGCCATAGCTCGCTGAGCGACTTTGAGCTTTCTTACACAGCCAGCAGTGAACATCACTGGCAGCACGCGCTGGTTGTACAATCTAGTTTTCACAATTTGAGGTAAACCTGACGAGAAGAAGTGTCGAATTTCCCGAACTCTGTCCAGCCGAGTTGAATCCGTTGATTGACCTCTCAGTCGAAGTTGGATTTACCTAGTCGGACTATTTGTCCCAGGTAAACGTACTCATCAAGAACTTCGAGCATAGTGCTCCCAACAACTACCGGCATAGGTGTGACATGGACATTAAACATGATTTTCATCTTAAGACCTATCCGTTGGGAGACAACATTGAGGTCATTGAGCATAGAGTTTAGGTCCTCCAGCGATCCTGCCATAAAGACTATATTGTCGGCAAATCGAAGGTGAGTGATGTACTCGCCATTTACGTTAATACCGTATTCTTTCCAGTCCAGTAGCTTGAAAACGTCTTCCAATGCAGCAGTGAAGTCTCGGGAATATAATGTCACCCTGTCTTACTACACTTCTCTGCAGTTGGATAGGTTTCGAACAGTGGTTCCGTACTCGGATAGCCATCGTAACCCTTACTATACAAACACTTCAGCACTTCGATATACCGACAGTCAACTTGGCACCACTGAAAGGACTGTAGCACCGCCCAAATTTCCTCTATTAAGAAGTAGCAATTAGTTTAATTTTTTTTTCAATAAAATTAATTTTTTTAAATGTTTTTTTTTTCAAAAAAAAAAATTATTTCTATACGCTGGATACTGATCCTGATAACGCACTTAACGGAAACCACAGGGTTTTTGTTACATGTTATATATAACTAGCTTGCCAGGCAGACGTTCTGTTCTTTTCGGCGACCCTTTGTCATGTCATATTAAATATACTTAAATTCGCAAAAAAAAATTGTGGGTCACTCATGGGCAAAAAAACTGTCCTATCTCTCAAGTTAGACCAAACTGCACATGGTGTGCAAATTTGATTAATTTATATATATTAAGATTTAGCCATGATAATAATATGAAGTTCTTCGTTATCTGGAAAAAATTCTTAAATTGAGTAGTATGTAGGAACATTTGATTACTCACATAATATTCTTTTTAAAGGACTCTTTCCAAGACTCAGCGTTCCTGAACTCGTACACGTGGCAAGCGAATGTGACGCAGATAAACACAGCAACAAGAGCGGCCGTAAGTGAACAGCGGGTGATCGTTTGCCGGATTTTGTTGGCGGCTCGCGACGATATCACGTCCTTACTGGAGACTCGGACGGCAATGAGAGAGAACACACCTACAACAAAAATATATGAAGTAAAAGACGTAAAGTTACAGCCTATATACGTTCCACTGCTGGGTACAAGCTTCCCTTCATTTCTGAGAGGGTTTTAGGGCAAGGAAGTGTCCGCCGCGCTGCCCCAATGCGTGTTGGCGAACTTCACATGTCTTCGAAATATTTTTTTTCTTATTCCTCAGACATGCAGGTTTCCTCACGATTATTTCCTTCACCGCCGAGCACGTGGTAAATCAGCACTTAAAATAGCAATTAACAATTTCATTGGTGCCGGCGGGGATCGAACCCGGACTTACTTGCGTTCTGTTATTTTTACAGCGAGCGTTAACCATCTGAGCTACCACGGCTCTTAAAAGACATATCCCAAACAAATTTTGAATCAATAACAAATTAAGAAACACCAGAAAATCTCTTGTATTCGTTTATCATATTTCAGATGTTCTATTCCATATTTGAAGCGTTGAAGCAAATTGAAGAATGTTTATGCAGCATTTAAGCTTACTTTAAAGTACCTATTTATGGTATTATTATGTTGCTAATTAAGAATGATATATATTAATCATTGTGTTACTACATATTATGTTAATATACAAGATTGACTCATTTAAATTTCTCGTTTTTCCTTTCTGTTTAAATTTTTTAAACTGTAAACGGTATAAGTTTGAGTACTATCATTTTTTTCCCTTACCTATACTCACTACTACTATATGTATCATCTGTATGTATAATTACATCTATTTTAGTTACTCATTTTAGAGAATAGGGCTGTCAAATGAGTACGCAGTTCACCTAATGGTAAGTGGATGCGGTGGCCCATAGACATCTACATCTATCAGACATGTGTCAATCATTCATTTCTAGTGACCGAATCATTCTAGTACCTCCATTTCGTCACGCGTACTGGCTATTGGTACATTCGGATCGATCATTCAAATGGACTATTTCGGGCTCCAGTACTCTGTGAGATCCATTGGGAACCGAAAATTTTCTATTTAAGATTTGTAATAGGGCCATCTAACTACATGCTACAGGTAATATAGTCATTTTATCGAACCAAAACTTATTGCCTTTCAAGGTGGTAAGCACAATCGACGCTAGATGGCACAAATTCAAAAACCTTGAAGAGATTCAATTGATTTGATTTTGGTTGATAACCTTATTCAATATTATTATATATTTAATAAATTTGTTTATTCTTAAATTTCATTCCTAACAAAACACAATTTCATCTTACTTTTTACTACAACATTAACAGCTACAAAATTAAACTTTTACCAATCTTATACTTATGCCATGTAATCTTTTGAAGTGTTATTTTTAGTAAACTCTACGAAATGATATTTTTAACTCACAGATGTAACAAATAAATGTAATAAAATGTAAAATAATTTTTAATTTAGGTAACAATATTATAATAAAAAAAACCCTTAAATAATAAATACTCCTGATATTCTGCAGTCTGCAATGTTTATTCGATTCGCCTGTTTGTTCAGATCATTCAGCATTCGGTCGGTTTTCGGCTCATTCACAATTCATACAAATCGCGGGTTAAAAAGATACCGTCAATTGTTTGTGATTGGTTGTACTGGTTTTTTTTAATAGAAGAGGGGGCAAACAAGCATGCGGCTCACCTGATGTTAAGTGACTACCGCCGCCCATGATCAACCGCAACACCAGGGGAATTGCAGGTGCGTTGCCGGCCCTTTAGAAAGGAGTAAGCTCTTTTCTTGAAGGTCCCCAGGTCGTATCGGTCCGGAAAAATCGCCGGTGGTAAACTATTCCCACAGAGAGGTCGTACGCGGAAGAAAACTCCTTGTGAAACATACAGTGGTGGACCGCCAAGCATCCAGATGGTGTGGATGGTATCGAGACGTTTGCCGCGTAGTGAGTTCACGAAATTTGGCGGTTGGAATTAATTCGAACAATTCCTCAGAGCACTCCCCATGGTATATGCAAAAGAAAATGCAAAGAGATGCAACATCTCTTCGCAGCGCCAGTGAATCGAGCCGATCGGAAAGCACTCGGCCGTCGACGATTCGAGCCGATCTGCGCTGGATGCGGTCAAGTGGAAGGAGCTGGTACTGGGGAGCCCCAGCCCAGAGATGGGAACATTCCATGTGTGGCCGAACCTGCGCCTTGTAAAGTTGCAGGCGGTGTGCCGGCATGAAATACTGTCCCGCTCTGCTGAGCACGCCAAGCTTTTTAGAGGCCAATTTGGCCTTCTCTTCCAAGTGACCACGAAACTGCACGTCACTCGATATGTCGACGCCGAGGATTCCAATACTGGCTGAGGCAACAAGGGAGTGCCTTGAAACTGAGGAGATACGACAAAGGGGTTCTTTTTAGCGGTTAACGCGCAAACTTGTGTCTTCTGGGCTAGATTTAGTCGCCCCCAATCCGAGACTCTGTCCAGCAAAGACTCGAATTCATACACAAGTTTGTCCCGGTACTCGGAGACGTTATCCCGAGAAATATTGGCACGGCCGGTGTACAGAGTAGGTATGTTGCGAATATTCGCATAGATTTGGACTTCTCCATCCGCAATAATCAATGCGGATTTTCATCCGGATGCGAATGTAATACAAGTTGTGACAAGAAAGAAATGGGCGGGGCCGGCAGTGGCGCGTGCCTTTCGCACGTGACAATGACCAATGGGAGCGAAAAAATTGGTTGACAAGATCCGACGCGTTTCTTGTCGTGCATCATTTGTTTATTGTAAATAAATCACAACGTCTTTGTTTGCGCTGTGGATTACTTGTCGTATAAATAGATTTTGAATGTTATTGTGATACAGTGATCATTTAAATAATTGTTTATTGGGAAATCGTCAGGTAAATACCATTATGTTACACCGATAATACGTTTTATTGTAGGTAAAGTTTATCATTTTAAAACAATATTCTTTATTTATCCAGCGAGGTTCCCGTTATTGTTAAACTATCTAACAAGTTAATTAACAATGTCACCACCGACACAAAGTAATATATGGAATTATTTTGAACCAAATAAAGAGGACCATGATAAGGCTGACTGTTCAAATGCAATAAAAGCTACTCTGAACTGAGCAGCTCTCACGCCCTTATTTCATCTGTGATTCCAATAATTCAAATGCTTGAAAAAAGCAGATCAAAAAAAAAACAAATGCTATTAAAAAAGAAAATCGTAGCACTGAAGCTGTACTTAAAAAGGAATTACTTTCTAACCGCGCTAAAAAAAGAATCAATGTGGATGAAAATCCTCTTAAGTGGTGGAGTGTTCATCGAGAGGAATTTAAGATATTATCACCGATAGCTCGAAGATTTTTATCTACTCCACCAGGCAGTGTTCCTTAACCGAACAATTATTTAGTAACGCGGGTTTAATTTACGAACCTCTGCGTAACCGCCTAAGCCGTGTAGTGGCGGTTGAGAATATCCACTACCCCATATCTTCCCGTGGGTGTCGTAAGAGGCGACAGAGGGACACAAAAAGGAGATGGGCAGCAGCATTTTCCTAATAACAACAATAAAAAACTGCGGTTGCCAACCCGCTCGCCAAGCGTGGCAACTACGGCAAATATCCCCCCAAACGCAAAAGGCCCCCCCCGGCCCCTTTCCTGGCTACGTGGCGACATTAACGGCCAAAAGAAAGCACCCCACGAGAAGATACTGGAGCTGGAAGAAGAGGTAGACAAGTTGCGCTATTCATAGAATCACCAAACGGTATTCGCTGAAGGTCATACAGGTCTACGCACCAACCTCGGCACATCCCGATGACGTTGGTGGAGGAAATGTATGAGGATATTTCTAGAGACATGCATTCCTCCAAAACCCACTACACGGTGTTGATGGGAGACTTCAACGCAAAACTAGGCACAAGAGAAGGCGGTGAGCTGAAGTTAGGGAAATTTGGAGTAGGGCAACGGAACCGTAGGGGCCAGCAGCTGGCTGACTTTATGGAGAAAGAGGGACTCTTTATGATGAACTCTTTCTTCCAGAAGCGGCCCCACAGGAAGTCCAACAGTCAAAGCTGAAGACTGAGTGTGGCAGCATCGTTTCCGAGATACCTGAGATTTTGAGTGAGATTGAAAGGTTCTATGGGCAGCTGTACACATCATCATTGGAGCCACACGCAAGTGTGAGTAATGATCCAAGAGCAAGTCTTACCCGACACTATTCCGATGATATCCCGGACGTCAGTCTGAGCGAGATTAGAATGGCTCTCCAGCACCTCAAAAACGGCAGGGCCCTAGGCGAGGATGGAATTACAGTGGAGCTTCTGAAAGCGGGTGGAATACCGGTACTTGAAGTCCTTCAGAAGCTCTTCAATTCCGTCCTCCATGGTGGCACTACTCCGGAGGCGTGGAGCAGAAGTGCGGTGGTCTTGTTCTATAAGAAAGGCGACAACGCTCTCTTGAAGAACTACAGAGCGATTTCTCTTCTGAGCCGCGTCTACGAGCTGTTTTCGAGAGTCATTACGAATCGTCTCGCACGCAGACTCGACGACTTCCAGCCTCCCGAACAAGCCGGTTTCTGAAAAGGCTTCAGTACCATAGACCACATACATACCCTGCGGCAGATGTACAGAAGACCGAAGAGTACAATTTGCCACTTTGCCTGGCGTATGTGGACTATGAGAAAGCCTTTGATTCCGTCGAAATTTGGGCGGTGCTACAGTCCCTTCAGCGGTGTCAAGTTGGCTGTCGGTATATCGAAGTGCTGAAGTGTTTGTACAGTAGGGCTACGATGACTATCCGAGTACAGAACCAGAGTTCGAAACCTATCCAACTGCAGAGAGGTGTAAGACAGGGTGACGTTATATCCTCGAAACTCTTCACCGCTGCGTTGGAAGACATTTTCAAGCTACTGGACTGGAAAGGATACGGTATTAACATCAATGGCGAGTACATCACTCACCTTCGATTTGCCGACGATATAGTCCTTATGGCAGAATCGCTGGAGGACCTTAGCGCTATGCTCAATGACCTCAATGGTGTCTCCCAACGGATAGGTCTTAAGATGAACATGGACAAAACAAAGATCATGTTTAATGTCCATGTCACACCTATGCCGGTAGTTGTTGGGAGCACTATGCTCGAAGTTGTTGACGAGTACGTTTACCTGGGACAAATAGTCCGACTAGGTAAGTCCAACTTCGACCGAGAGGTCAATCGACGGATTCAACTCGGCTGGGCAGCGTTCGGGAAATTACGACACATCTTCTCGTCAGGTATACCTCAATCTCTGAAAACTAAAGTGCACAACCAGTGCGTGTTGCCAGTGATGACTTACGGATCAGAGACGTGGTCCTTCACTACTGGCTGTTTGAGGACGCTCAAGGTCGCTCAGCGAGCTATGGAGAGGGCTATGCTCGGAGTTTCTCTGCGTGATAGTCTCAGAAATGAGGATATCCGCAGTAAAACCAGAGTGATCGACATATCCCAACGGATTAGTAAGCTGAAGTGGCAATGGGCCGGCCATATAGCTCGAAGAACCGATAACCGATGGGGAAGAAAGGTTCTCGAGTGGCAGCCTCGTACCGGTAGGCGTAGTGTAGGGCGCCCACCCACTAAATGGAGTGACGACCTGGTAAGACATGCAGGAAATCGATGGATGCAGGTGGCTCAGGACCGTGCTTTGTGGCATTGCTTGGGGGAGGCCTATGTTCAGCAGTGGACTTGTGAAGGGCTGTAATGAAGATGATGCGTAACCGCCTTGAATCAGAAAAGGCGGCAATATTACTCTTTATTAGGTATAATGCTCTTATTTTTAACTTCACTTACTAATATGAAAATTAGAAAGTGAAGTTAAAAAAAAGGATCATTATACTTAATACTAATTTTCATTAATAAAAATGTTAATAATTACTTTACCATTGTTTTAATTCTTCATTTATATACTATATTCATATAAGATCTTAAATATCCGCATCCGCGGATGTGAAAATATCGGCATCCGCAACATCCCTGGTACAGAGCATCACCAGTGCTGTCATCTGCATAGCAATGAATGTTACAGGTTTGCAACATATAATTGATATGCAGAATAAACAGCGTTGGCAATAGCACGCAGCCTTGTGGAACACCAGCATGAATAGACTTGTAATCGGAGCTTGCACCGTCTACAACGACCTTGATGCTCCGATTTGCAAGAAAGCTGGTGATCCAATCGCACAATTTCTCGGGAAGCCCATAGGAAGGGAGCTTCGAAAAAAGCGCTTTGTGCCAAACCTGATCGAAGGCCTTCGCAATGTCCAAATTAACGGCCAATACCTCCCCCTTGGACTCTACTGCCTCCGTCCATCTATGAGTCAGGTAGACCAGAAGATCACCAGCTGATCGACCACGGCGAAAACCGTATTGTTGGTCACTAATCAGCTGGTGATCCTCAAGGTACCACATGAGCTGGCAGTTAACAATAGACGCCATTGTTTTGGGGAACAAGGAGGTGATGGCGATAGGCTGGTAGTTGGACGGGTCTGAGCGGTCGCCTTTTTTAGGGATCGGGTGGACGAAAGCCGTCTTCCATGATTTTGGGACTACGCCTAGGGACGCCTAGGGAGTAGGATTACCGGAAAAGATGCGTTAAAACCAGTGCCAACTCTGGAGCACATGTCCTCAGCACAATAGGGAGGATTCCGTCAGGCCCACTCGACTTGTGGATGTCCAGGGAGAGGAGTGCTTTGCGAAACGAGCGCTGTGTAAAATGCACTTCCGGCATGGAGCACTCACACCGCGGGATTATCGGTCGACGGCGTACTCCCCCCGTCATCGAGATTCGAGTTGGAACACAGAAAGAGCCTAGCAGATCGGCTTTCTCCTTTGCGGTATGGGCTAGTGAGTCGTCCTCCCTGTGCAGAGATGGAAGAGATGGCTGACAGAAACTCCCCTGGACAGCCTTGGCGAGAGACCAGAATGCACGGGTTCTTTCAATTTCTTTTCCTTGGCAATGACTTTTTTGAAGGACCTAGAGGCGGAATTATACTTCTTTTTTAGAGCGCTGGTGTTTACATCCCGGGACGTTGATGCGTCAGCCCAGGCTTGGTAGCATTCCTGCTTATAGCATGATGCTATTTTACAGGAGCGACCAAACCATGGCTGAGATTTGCCTCCGATAGGCACCACAGAGGAAGGAATAAAAAGTTCCATACCCTAAAGTACCACATCAGCGACAGAATCCGCAACAACGTTGGGATCGTCCGGCGAGAAGCAAACCCGCCCCCAAGGGTAGGATGCAAAGAAAGACCGCATCCCATCCCAATCGGCTGACCTATAGTGCCAAACACGGCGGCAGCCTGCAGAATGTAACTGCGATTTCAGCGTGAGTGGCACCACACTCCGGACAAGACAATGGTAGGAGGAGCCTAAAGGGGCGTCGACGGAAATCTGATATCCGTCCGGGTGAGAGGTCAGCAGAAGGTCCAACAGGGAAGATGCATGATCCTCCACATCTGGAATCCGCGTAGGCGAAGTAACCAGTTGTGTCAGACCTTATGCCAAGACTCCCTAAAATGCCCCATGGATAAGTCCTATTACCCTTTACTTAACATTTAAATAAATTAAAATCATGAACAGATCTCCCCGCATGATCGGTTAAGCGTGCACCAAGCCATTCGGCGTGATGAGCGTTAAAGTCGCCGAGGATCATGATCTCTGCGGAGGGATCTGCTGTAGCAACGAATCTGTAGCTGTTTGGACGTGGTCGAAGAGTCGATCTGTTTCGGCATTACCGCTATGGGAACTATAAAGGCACCCGTAGACGCGCGGATGGTCGTCGCTGTCTACGCGTAGCCAAAGGATGGACAGGACCCTCAAGACTGCCGAGGCGTCGAGAACAGATGTCCTCTCTGACGTAAACGCAAACTCCAGCCCGAGGCACAAAGGAGTGTTCCAGTTTGTACCCCGGGAGAGAGCCTACGAGACATCAGCCGGAGAGGACACCTGCATCTCGGTCAGAAAGAGCAGAGCCGGCCTCGCCGTCTCGAGATGGTAGTGGACGGCGTTTAGGTTAGAGTGAAGTCCCCTGTTATTGCAGAAATTCACGGATAGCGTGGCAGGGATCGCCTTGGTCTTGTTGCTTCGTTTACTGCTCGCACAGCTTATCTTTTTTCCGTCGATAAAATTATATGTAGTTTCCCTGGTTTTGATATGTGCACTTTATAAGGACTAACACTGTATTTCATGAAGCATCACTTAAATTCAGAAGTATAGTTTAATTTACTTAACTCTTACTGAATAATTTTGATCAAGTCTTCTTACTGTCACTATCGTAAGTTGTCAAGCAAATACAAGATTCCTTGTTTAAACTTTTTCTCAACTTTACTTAACACATACAAGCTTAAATGATAAGTTAAATGTGTACATATTTAGAAAACAACAGTTCTCACAGTGTCTAACTAATTTAAGCAAGCAACCTTATATTTAAACTGGTAATATGGAAATAAGTTGTCATTTGATGGGAACATAAGAAATCCATCACGCCATTTCATTCCACGGGTGTTATCAGAGACGAATAAGGGAAATGCCACAAATATAGTTTTTTTACAGCATTGGGTGACAAGCACATTGTACACCATCAGGTGGACTATGTGCTCGCACATAGTTTTCACCTGATGGTAAGTGGATGCTGTGGCCCATATATATATATCCATATTTATCCTCAATTAAGAATCAAAATGCAAATGTGTTTTCACCCCTGAGGACTAAGATAGAATGCCTCGTTTCCAGTAAAAAGGGTCTCCGGTTCTCTACAATCACCATACGAAGAACAGTGGCATTACGCTGCTATTTTACCCAGCGTAAAATATTATATTATAGTATAAAATTCTGAGAGTGTGGTCCTGCCCCGGTCGAGCCGACCCATTAGTGCTATAATTATGATATAGCTGCTAGCGTGGCTCTACTACATACAAAATGGCTTCATAACTTCCGTTAGATGGCGGTATAATCAAAATCTTGTTTACACCAGGCGTGAAATAATAGGACTGGCAACAGCAAATAGCGTCGAAGGCGCATGACGTCGTACAGGGATCTTTTCGGCGAATCCTCCCTACAATGGAAAAGGCCAATGTCTAGCAGAGGACTATCATCATAATTACAGCCGTTTACAAGTCCACTGCCGAACATGGGCCTCCCCCAAGTAATGCCACAAAGCACGGTCCTGAGCCACCTGCATCCATCGACCTCATGCATGTCTCTATACTATAGCAGAGGACTATGGGAACTATGGGATAAATAAGATGAAGGATACCAATCCCCTTTGGTAACATTTGTTCACTGGTACATACAAATTCCATTAATCTACATGCTCAGCTTTGGAAAAATTTAGTAGACTGTAGACAAGCTAGGGAGGCCCTGCCTGAAATAAACAGTCTTCTAACCAAAGTTCTAATGAGACTGAACAAGCCACAAATCAGGGTAGTAACAAGTGCTATCACAGGGCATGGCTCCTTTAACAAACATTTATTTACCATTGATGTTACACATAGTTCCCTGTGCAGGGCATGTATGGGGAAGGAAGAAACGGCAGCCCACGTATTGCTGGCGTGTCCAGAGGTCGCCGAATACAGAGACTAAACATCTCGGCACGCCTGGATCGCTCCATGAAGTTGATCCAAAGAACTGTTGAACTTTTTCGGGGATATTTCATGGCTCAAATAATCACACTATTTCTGCCCACACGCAAAATACGCGCTTAGACGAGGTGTTGCTGAAAACAGCCCGTAGTAAACTAAGGTAAAGGATATGTGAAATAGATGACAGACTTACCTCTTAATAGAAAATATCCACCAAGAACCAACACAACTGACAGCGGTGCCAACAACAATGCAGCTCGCATTGGATAATTGACATATCCCACAAAACATACACCAGTAATACTACTGCCATCCACTTCGCCAAACGCCATTGTTGTGATTGTTAGTACTAAGGGCAGTGACCAAGCTACAAGATGAAAATATGCTGCCTTTTTGTCGATTCTGTCTTGTATTTTACCTATGACAAATGATATTTCATTAATTTCTCTTTCCTTAAAAAACTAACAAAAATGTATTTGGGCATTTTATGCTACGAAATAAAAATTCATCAATTTTTTTTTTATAGAATAAGGATAACAAACGAGCACACAATCTACCTGATGGTAAGTGGATGCTGTGGCCTATAAACATCTACATTTATCCTCGATTAAGAATCAAAACATTGGTGCGTTGTCACCCCTGAGGCTTACGATGGAGTGCCTCGTTCCTTGTAAAAAGGGTCTTCAGATCTTTACACTCACCATACGAAACACAGCATTATTATACATATTAAGCTGCTATTTAGCTGGAGATATAGAATTCTATGAGAGCGCAGTCCTTCCCCAGTCATGCTGACCCATTCATGCTACAACCACAATATAGCTGCAGCGTGTCTCTACCATGTATAAAATTCACACAATTTAATAATATTAAGTTAGTAGACCCAGCCATGAGATACAGTGTATTTATAAATGCTATCAAACTTTACAATAAATCCAAAGAACAGCAATCTACTTGGACCAAATTTAAAAATTGAATTTGGATTGAACATTATGACAGAAGTGATAGGTAACCCAACATAAAACAGTAATAAATAATGCCTTATACGACATTCTAGGCAAGTAATACAAATGGTGCATTCTTTTTGTTTAAGTCCCAAGGTTCCAAGTAGTTATCCAATGTGAGTCACGATGATTTTTCACTGTGACTTTTTTGTAACCGGAATAATGGTAATGGTTATATAAAAATAGCACTTTCCCCCCAAGTCTAGTTGCCTCTTACGACCACGGGATGATATGGATATTCATACACCATTTTGCAATCGTAGTTTCTCTAGCGCTCAATTGACCTTCACACAAATAATGAAATAAAAAATGTCCTTGGCCTCACCATATGTCTGACTAAGTTCATCCAATATAATGTCGGGGCCTGAGAGGTTAATTAAAAGATTGATTAAAGTACTAAAAATAATAGCTTCTGAAGTTGATGTCAAGGTGCTTTACAGAATAATGAAAGTCCCAACCAGACCCTACAAAAGACCCTAAACTAGTGAAATGTTAGGATGGTAAGCATAAAGATAATGTAAATAAAATACTTAATGGTAAAAAATGTTCTTATATTCTCACCCAAAGTTCTTAAACTCATGTGCCAGGCATATGTGAAAATAACAAACCAAACGCAAGCTGCCATCATAAAATAATACACCTAGAAAAAAATATATAGGTTAAAAAGTATTGAAGAGATAAACAAACTATTGCAGTATATAGATTGACGATGACGACAATAATTAAATAATATATGCGACATGGCATAACTTACCAAGACAAACACCACAACGCAAGACAGATTCTCTTCCGCTGAAGGTTCACCTCGTCGCCTAGTTCCGTCTTTAGAACAAACAATATCATCTCTAGACCCAACACCAAATTGAACGAGCCACCTGTGTCAAAAATAAATAAATGTTTTAATTAAAAATAATTTGAAATTAAACACGTCAAAATCCTCTTAATGAATCTTTTTTATATGGCAAAAATCATTATGAAAAGACAAAAACAATTTTTGGGACCCTAGTTCACAAATTGAGGAAGAGAATTGATAACATAATTGACAGAATCCGAATTACAATTTTTGATAGAATGGAAGTACTAAGTGTTCTCACCCCATTGAAGCAACAGCAAAACATACATTGATGTAGAAGATGACAACAGCTGGATACTTATTAGCACTGCGCCAATCGATCAGAAAGGTTGCAACTGTCAACAGATTGAGAGCAAGGCAAACTCCTGCTCCCCATGCAACTAACCGATGTATTTGTTGGTGCTCATCCTCAGTGTATAGCGGATCACGACAAGGAAGGCCACATCCAGAAATTCCTGCAACAATGTTCTAATTTATAGATGAGATGTAACAAAACAAAAACAAATAGATGATATCAGACTTTCAGAAACTTAAGTAAAACAATTTTTTTCATGTAATATTATTTAAGTTTGTTATAGAGATAATGCTTTATAGATAACATACCAACAATATTTTTGAAAAAGTCATACCTTCATAAAAGTGCAGGCTTTTATCAGTGTGTATTAACGGTGTTAAACATTTTCCAGATGTATTAAACTTCATTTCCCTAGCTGCATTATCGCACTTGGATGGAAATAGTGTTGAATTACATTTTAAAAACGATGGAAAGTAAGATGTATTATACAAGATAGCACAAGGCTCCATTGTTATTTTGCACATTTCATATGAAGGCAGGTACACCATATCATGCCCAAGTATTCGTTCACATTTAGGCATAAATGCAGCACAGAGTAAGGGCTGTATGACAGCCCAACATTTAGGCACATTTATTAGTTCCCTATAGAGTTCTAACTGATTTTGTATTTTACTCTGTGTATCATAAAAAGTTAGATGTACGCTTGTTTTGTCATACGGTAATTTAACGCCCAAACACGTATTTTTAATCAATGGCTCACATCTCGCTCTCCTCACACAGCTATCAAGCTTTATTTCTCTTTCTGGAAACCATTGTGTACCTTTTTCTGGCTTTATTAGTCTATAATTAGGTGTACCATTAATAGCTTCTAAGCGTTCTGTTGAGTTGTCGTTTAAATCTGATATGGCATTTTTATCTCCTCCACTATCAAACTGGCTTGCATGGCATACTGCAACTGTAATCAGCCAGTACACCCATCTTTCCAACATCTGTAACAAAAAAATAATAATGAAACACCTACCTAAGGCAATGTTTCAAGGGAAAAAAATAAATAAAAAATTAAATGAAAACTACACTTCATTTCTCAATTTTCCTTTATTTAAGAAGGTAAGGAGGCAATATCAAATGAAACCCTTTAAAATTTTATAAATTTATTGTTCTCAACAAATTGTGCTAATTTAAATTAAATATTCATATACCAAAGCACTATAAACATTTATTACAAAAACCAGCATCCAGTTTGTGTTAATAGTCCAAGGTAAGTGATAAGGGATGGGTAAATTAAGTCAGTACAAAAATTATTTACTTTTGATATTGGGTAACTTATATTTTTAAACAGAATGTATTGATATTAAAATCATGTATCAAATAAATATGTTAACGCTTGCTATTATTTTGACTTGTACCTATATAAATAAAACAAAAATATATAGTCCCTAAGATAGGTAGGTTTAAATATAGATATACTGAAAAAGAAAAAGATAAACTTTACTTAGATATACTTATACTTTAAAAGAAAAAAATTTGAACTGTCGAAATATTTTAAACACTACCTCAAAGATTTAAATTTGTCAAAATTATACAAAATTTCAGCTGCACAAAGTTCAAAAACTATATTAAACTAAGTTTGTATAAAAAGGGAAACATGATCGCTACCAAGCTATTTCTAATTTGTGTTGTGCTGTTTATTTTAACATACATAATTATAAGCTGTTATTTAAAAAGTCCTGCTGGCTTTCTTGCTGGTTCTTCCCAGGACAACAGTTTTTTCTGAACCAGTGGTAAATTAAAAAAATGACTTTCTATAAGTATTATTTATAATTGAAATTGAATAAAAATGTTTCTGTTTCTGTCCAAAATATGATACTGCACAATTTTGTACTGACTAATATGAAAAATGGATAGGATACACCTTGGACATTATTTTTGGACATAGTATTTTTATTCTTTATTAAGAAATTTATTTATTCCCACATAAGTTTATATACAAATGGTAAATAGGGTATTTTCAGTTACTTTTATTTCTTTATTAATAACATAATACAAAAAATACCAGGCTCTTACTATAAAAGTGAAGCGAAACGACGACCCCTTGGCTGCCTTTAAACTGCAAACAACTCACTGGCTTGTGCTGTTGCTTCTTTCTTCAAGTTTTTACATGTGATGATCCATCTTCCATGTTCAATAATTACCTGACATGTGAATAAAGCTGTTTAATAATATTAATCAAATTTTGAAACGAACAAACAATTGCAACTGATAAACTTACCAAAATCTCACTTTGGAAGGAGAACACCTGAATGTAAATCTAAAAATATTTTTTGTGACATAATATAAATTTATTATGTTTTTAACTTATGAAAATAAAATACAAGCTGTAAGAAAAAATTATGTACAACCTTTTTAAACAGCATCACTATATTTTTTACACTAAAATGCTTACATTCGGTTTTCATCAAAATTTTAAAGTCTGTGTATGCATTTACAGCAAACATGTGCTAGTTGGAAATTGATTTACTGCCTCTTCTAAACGTTCTGTGAGAACCGCTTCCTCTTCTGTTCCAAGATGATCCACGGGAATTATTACTGCGACGGTTACTACGCATTCCATGGCCATTCATACCACGACCCCTACCTCTATCTTGACTTCTACCACGATCATGTTTTCTACCACGATCTTGTGCCCTACCTCTATCTTGCCCTCTTCCTCTATAATTTCCACTCCACCTTCGATTCCTATTAAAACTCTCATTTACATCATCTTCTTCATTATAATTTTCATCATCATAATTCTGATCAAATGTTTCGTCTTCATTATATTCTTCATTATCCTGTGAAAAGGTTTGATTTTCATAACTAGAATCATATGAACTCTTAGTAAAGCCATTATCTGGGAATGGAGGTTGGGGTGGTATATTGCCCATTGGAGGCATGTTGGCCAGTGGAGGCATATTACCCATAGGAGGCATAGCACCCATTGGTGGCATACCAGCTAAATGTGGTGGTGGTATATTTATAGGCCCCATATGATTCATTGGAGGACCCATTTGTGGCCTCATAGGGCCCATATTCATAGGCAAAGGAGGTCTCAAAAGCCCCATCTGAGGCATATTGTTTATTGGTCCCATGTTGTTAATTTCAGATCCATTATCATAGTTATTGTAGTTCTCTTGGTCACCTTGCTCACTAGTATCCATTTCATTTTCAAAATATTCATCTTGTTCATAATCTTCTTTTTCTTTATTTTCCTCATCAGAAACTTCAGGCTCATTTTCTGGTGCAGGATATTCAAATGGTAGAAAATTATCTTCATCGGCATCATGTTCTAAATGAGGCATCATGTCGTGTAGTTCCTCTATTTCACCAGTGGCAATATATTTTTTTAATGCTATAGGACCATCTACAATTGCTTTTTCAAGTTTAGAGCCAGCTTCAACAGGTATTAATTTTCCATAAATATATATAGCAGATGGGGTCAATTGTTGAAGTGGTACAGCACCTGGAACGGATTCTACTAACGCCTGAGTTAAAGCCTCAGTGGCAGAATCATCTACAGTTGGACCATGATTCCATTGAGCTTGGAAATTTCTGGGTATAGGTTTACTATAAGGTACTTTCTTGACTTTCTTTTCAAACTCCATTGGTACGAAGGTTGTGTCTAAATCTAAACCAGGTATAACCTTATCTGTATCAGAAGAAAATATTTCTACTTTGTCTTCAGGACCCATACCAGGTATCACAGCTGGTTCTTCCAAATCATGATCATCTTGTACTCCAGGCGGCAGAGTATTTAAATTATATTTGTCTCGCATTTGATCTCCTGGGCGGTTACGTGTCCAAAATTTAGATGAGTGATCATTGGAGCCAGAACATAATATATGACCCAAAGGATGCCAGGCCATTGTCCAAACAATTGATTCATGAGCACCTTCTATACATCCCACTTCTTTGTCAGTACCAACATTCCAGAATAGAATTGCACCATCTGAACCTCCAGAACAAAACAAACCTTCATGATTTGGGTGCCATGCTACACTCGAAGCCTCTTTTTTATGTCCCCTAAATACTTGAAGTTCAGTTCCAAGTTTTCGTATATCAAATAGTTTAAGCAAATGATCCCGTGAAGCAGTTATCAGCCAATTACCATTATCATTCCATTTTAAATCCATTACTGTAGATTTATGAGCATGTAAAGTTGACAAAGCAGTTCCTGACTTAGGATCCCATAACTTTATTGGTTGTTGATTGTCTTTACTTCCAGATACAATGAGAGCTTTTGTTGGATGCCATTGAACACATTTTACATCTGCACCATGACCTCTTAAAATTCTTTCTTCTTGACATCTATAGAAATCAAATATACGAAGAGTACCATCATCTGAACAAGTAACAATCTTGGAATCACTAGGACTAAAACTAATTCCTCTTACAGCTTCTTTGTGAGCTTGATACATTTTAACATTATTCATATTGCTTTGCCAGTATTTAATGAATCCAGAATGGTCACCAGTTACCATCCAACCTTCCCCATGTGACCATACCATTGATCTAACTGGTGAATCATGAGCTTGTAGAATGGTTTCAAAATTAAATGTAAGACCATTCCATAATGTAAACTCCCCTGATGATGCTCCTGTTATTAACCTTCGTCCTTCTGGTGTCCATGCTACAGCAAAAATAGGGCATCTCATTTTATTAGTAGCAGTTTTAACAAAACGTGTTGTGACAGCGTTAATTGGATTATCAGGGTATGAAGGTGGTGGTAAAAGGTCTGGTGTATACATTGCATCAGGTTGAAGGGCGTGCCTATCTCGCCAGTCCCTTTGCCAAACGCGGCATTCTAAAGCTTTAATAATGGCGGCATTATAATCTACTGTTTTACGCATAACAGATTTACGTAAACGTTTACCATCAAAGTCATCTTGAGTCATGTTCAGGGGACCCTGAGATGGGAAGCGCATCTGATAGTTGAAAGGTCTAAAATTATGACGGATGTTGTTACGACCTGGTGGACCCATAGGACCACCTATGCCAGGAGGAGGCATGCCCATATTCGGTGGAGGATGTCCAAATTCCATGTTAAGACTTCGATACCTAATTAGAGAAACATTTATATTACTACATAATTGTTTTAAAAAGTTACCAGAGCGTCCTACATTTTCGAAGGCTTACTACTATTCACTTACCTTGCTTTATTAAAGAATACAGGTTGACATTATACTTAAATGCGCTGGAACAACACTGCACAAATATAAAAAGTTAGATGTTCACTTAATAGAGTTCTACAGAAGAGACTAAAATAATAACACAAATTATAATAACCTAATAAATTATTCAAGGGAAAACCGCTTGGAACCAAAAACTACGATAGCCAACGAACCAAGCCAGCCATGATTGTTTACCATAGATATTATGTTATTGTTGTTGCGACTTACGATTCGCAAATGAATGCCGACAAAGTTTAGATCATACAGCCTATACTAATTTTGTTCATAAAACTCTATGGGAGATTTTCATAAGGTTATCTTAATCTTACCATTCAACCCAATAGACTCGCTCGCATTATTATTCCCCTCTGCGCAGGTATTGGATTTAAAAATCTTGTGCTTTTATAAAAACTGTTTACGAAACTGATTTTATCATTACAACAATCGTTTCCGTCGTTGTAAGTGCTCTTAAAAAAATTCAGATTTGTGCGGTTAACGTGTCCAAAAAGTAGTCTAACACTTCAAATTTATAAAAAGATGAAGTGTCATTCCATTTTTAAGTATTTTTATTGTGATATATGCTTTCTTTTTATTATAAACATTTAAAATAATATCATAAATAATAATCGAAAACTATACCGATAAGTCAATCGAGTATATAATATTTCATAGAAATTGTAGTGATAATCGAAATATGAGAAGCGGACTCCCCACTAGATTAGCTCTTACAAATTAGGTTTAAAAATGAACACGCAAGCCCAACGGCACTACTTACCAGACTAGTTTATATTAGCAACATATAAACAATAAAAGTGAAACAAGACTACTTAACCCTGCAGAGGTCGCGCCCTTTTAGTATTAAACCAAAGGAGACGGCATCGCAAAGCATACCCCTCTGTAAAAGGTACGAGTCATTATAAATTTTAAATTTCAATTTTAAGAATTTTTTTTCGTTTGTTCTTCAAATCCGCAAAACGCTCTCCGCTGTATTAGATATTGTCCTAATGTCACTGATCCCGCCTAAGGGTATTAGTGTTCTATGTCACTAATTAAGGGAACTAGCTAATTATTTCTAAAATTTTCAAGTTATTGTTACGAGCTTAGGGTTCGTGACAATGAAAACTGCCGATTGAATTGCCAAAATTGACACTTTAATTACCGAACACCAATTAAAACTTAAAATACACTAATAATTTATCACACTTAACACTTTAGTTCACTTTATTTCACTCCAAAGTCTTCTCTTAAATAGCCAATTAAATACTAACGGGCGCGCAACGTTGATTGGTATTATGACCTTTAGACTGGACTTTTATTGCACCCTTGTTCTATTTTCTTGATTACAGCAAAGTTAGAGAGAGATAGGATTAGAAGAACCGATATACATCGATCTCTAAATCTTCGCGGTAAAACGATGCCAGATTATGGAGTTTGACAGATGCGCATATTATTTGACACGTCAGAATCTGGCGTTTTGACAGACGAGTGGTTAATTACCAAACACCAATTAAAACTTAAAACACACTAATAATCAATCACACCTAACACTTTAGTTCACTTTATTTCACTCCAAAGTCTTCGCTTATATCGCCAATTCAATACTGAACCGGTTGCGGTCCTAAACGCCTTTATATAGGACCTTTTCGACTGAAACATCCAGAATACTCGAGCACATACCAGTCCCGACCGACTAGGTGTAGAAAGTTCTCTCCCAGTTCCGCCACTCGATACTAGATGGCGCTAGTGGGAAAGTTTGTAACGTTGCACGTACATGTATGCATAATTATAATTAAACGGTTTATAAAAATTAAATAAACATTTAATAAACTAAATAAAAATAAAATAAAAGTTATTAACAAAAATAATTCTATAATTAACTTAGGTATCCTATTAATAAAACAAATCAGTAAACTAAAAGAACGAATTAAATAATAAATCAAATATTAAAATATTGTATTTCGAACAAACACTCTGACGCTTCGTTACTCTATGCGCTTTGCAACTCTCGCGTCAGAGTTTTACCCGGCCGGTATCATTCCACGGCGTCGCGCTCCCGGTCATTCTCCGCCCGAGCGCCCTGGGAGGCGCACACTACCACTGCAGCCGCGTTCACAAGCTCTGCTTTGTGTCCTCGTACGCGCTTGCAAATTTTAATCCCATTTTGGAAAAAGTTTAAAATAATATAATAATTCCGGCACTGTGGCCGTATAGTTTTTTCGTTAATTCTCGTCACCGAGACCTCCGTATCGTCTTGCACCCCGTAAGGGTAAGTGTTGAAACGTTACCTAGTTTTAAGTAGTGAAAGTGTTTTATAGGTAGTGTAATTTGATCATGCCAGGCTGTTTGCTTTTAGCTATTTAATTGCCACGTTATTAGTGTTATTTGCATGTAAGTAATGTATGTAGCCGCTGTGTGCGTTGGCAAAAGTACCGTTACAAAATGGCGTCTCATACATTTCGCACCGCGATCAAATATCGCAAGTCACCATCATGTTTCAACCAATGCACAGCCTAAATTAGTTATCCTGGTACATTTAAACAGTATTTTACACTTGCCGTAATTTTAATTCATGTGTATTTTAATTTGCGCCTCACCGCTATGACGCTTGCCTTCCATTCCGCCTTGTAACTCCGTTCTGATTATGAACACCCGCCAGCTACTCTCTGTGCTCCCATCTACTGCTAGCCTGCGATATACCGGGGGTTCATAATCGGCGGCATTTTATTACCTGGACCTAAATGTGGACGACGTTGTTTCCAGGGTGCAATTTTACGACTACAACCGTGGCGGTCGTCCTTCTTAAGAGGGCCTAGGCCTCCCCTCGACGCCGCCACCGCCACAGCCAGCTGCCCACGGCGCTCCCCGTGAACAGTCCAACTCCCCCGGCCCTGTTCGACCACCTCGCGGCCACATAGGGGAGTACCTGACCCTGCCAGTGAAGCCAGACGGGCACTTTTTTTAAATTATCGGAACCACGCCCACGACCTTTTCTTTTACCAATATATAATTTTTTTTATGACTGGTTGTTGCCTTATTTTAAACACCAACCGCCTCAAGTTCTAGCGTGGAACTTTCTTAAAGCTCTCCTCGCTCTGCTACCTAACACTAGATGGCGCTAGTGGCATTAATTATGGCTTGCAACACTGCCCCCTCCTAAGACATGCTCGTCTAGAACATTAATGGCTCCATAATAACGCGCCAATCGATCCACATCACAGAGTACCTTTCAGGGCCCCCGTAAGGGCTACTGGCGCCTGTGTGCAAAAAAGGATTTTGGCGCCCCTTAAGGCATTTTGGATCATGTTTTTTTATTTTTATTTGTAGACTAAAATATCAAAATGGAACAAACAGAATAAAATCATAACAAAATAACTTAGAATAAATTGCTGCAATTCCTGCAATTCCCCTGGTGTTGCGGTTGATCATGGGCGGCGGTAGTCACTTAATATCAGGTGAGCCGCATGCTCGTTTGACCCCTCTTCTATAAAAAAAAAATTCCTGTTCACACCCATTTTAAAGCATTTACTTTACTAATGGGGTACAGACACGTTGTTTATAAATACTAGAAAATAACACAAAACTAAAAATCACACCTTTTTTTAGGACCAAATAACAGAAATATTGGCTAATGTCTACGTATATATAGGTACTACTTTCTACTAATACTTAGATATTTTTAAAAATATGCAATATGCTATGCAGATACTTCTGATAAAATACCTAGGTAACTTCATTATAAAATCAAAAATGATAGCTAGGTACAATAGAAAAATACAAAATAGCTATTGTTGCAGCGATATTTTCCGAGACTTTGCTACTGCAAATTCATTCATCGCTAAAATGTATACCATCAATTGTTCCATTTCCAATATTTACGCTAGCCCAGACAATCTTTCTTGGAGCATTGTCGATCTTAAATAATTTTTAATGATTTTTAACTTTGGAAAAGATCGCTCGCCAGAAGCTACAGATACAGGTAATGTCAGAAGAATTCTTAGTGAAATGCTTACGTTTGGAGAGGTGGAGATTAAATTGTTTTCAAATATATATTGTTAAATACTTAAGGGGTCGGTGTCATCAGGTAATGAAAACAACTTTAACGCTTTAATTTCATTAAGCAAATTATTGGAGTCTATATCCTTATTATCCTGATCTGTCAGTCGTTCTTCAAGCACAGAACGATGTTTTAAAATATCGCTGTCACCTAATTTGAATACGTTGCTAAAAATCCGAAAATATTATCATACTCATTTAATAAGTCAAATCGGTTTTTTAGAGATCTTAATGTTTGATCTATAATTTTTAAGAAGAAACTAATTTTAAAGGCAGTTTTTGGATCATGAGGGGTCTCATCTCGATGTTCATGGTCAAACAGTTTTGGTTTAAATTTCCTCCTGACCGTTGGTAACAGTGGAAAGTCTTCTTCAATTTCGAGAGATAGTGCTAATTCTTTCGCGTGTACAAGAATTTCTTCAAAAGATTGGTCAGATCTATATTGCTGGAAGTGATCAACTAAAATTTTTAGATACGTTTGGCATACTTTAATATTAATTGTAGCACTTCGCATTTGTTTGCTGACAATATTTATGTGAAATAAAACGTCATGCCAAATAATAATTCCACTAATAAAATGAAGTTTTGTACAGACGTTAAGAGGGATCTCGCTTTATGTCTTGCATCAATGTGAAAGGAATTATCTTCAGCTACATTTAGAAGACTTTCGCAAACCTTAATTAAATAAAGTTTAAGGGGCTTTATTGAATCAATACCGCCGGACCGTCTTGTCTTATTTAGAGGCTTTAAACTTTACCCAGGGACTTTTTTTCTCAGAATATGCCACCTTTTTGTGGATGACGAAAAAAATATATAACTCTTGCACAATATTAAAAAAGTTTGTTGTAGCACCTGACACTTTGGAAGCGTCATCTACTGTTAAGTTCAAAGTATGAGCCGTACAAGGTACAAAAAGCGCTCTCGGGTACGCGTCAAGAATGCTTTTTTGAAGACCAACGTGCTGTGCCTTCACGTTTGCCCCATTATCAAAACCTTGTCCCCTAATATTTTTTATATCTAAATTTAATTTTTCAAAATTTCTGTCATAAATGTATATATCTTTTTACCTGTAGAGTCCAATATCGGATTAAACGCAATAAAACTTTTCTTAACTTCTTTCTTCAATCTTCTTTCTTTGAAGTTGTGTTAAGGACAACATACCTCAGAACAAGACTAATTTGCTCAGTATGACCAGTGTCTGGTGTACAATCTAATAATATTGAAAAATATCTTGAACTGCGAACCATTTCTAGAATATTATTTCTTACTTTAGACGATAATAATTCAATTATTTCATTCCTTATTTGCACGCCTAAATAATGAGTCATTTTAACACATTTTGTTTGGGAGTTACACACTCGGCTAACGTGCTGTCTCATCACAGAATCAAAAGAGGCAATCATCTCAACAGCTTTTAGAAAATTTCCATTATCATGTTCGAAAAGTAATTTCGAAGAACCTTGAAATGACAAGAATTGTGTAGATAAATACTTAACGATCGCAATAATTCTTTCCATTTCTAAAATCCGCAGGTGATGAGCATTAACAGTCGAAGATGTCTCCAACATTTTTTTTAATTTACCCAAGTGTTCATATAACTATTGTGTAAAATTGACGTTTCGTGTCTCTTTATTATAGTTCATAAAAGATATCTTAAAAAGAAATTTAGGACTTCATAGGCGTGATTTTACTGACAGCTGTCACAGAGATCAAGCTATCTTTTATGAACTATAGCAAAGACAAGTATTGCCAATCAGATACTCCATTTATATCACAAAAAGTGTTAGGAGTTTTACAAAACAACTTACAACAAAAACAAAATACAGTATCTTTAGAAATAAAGTAAATAAGCCAAGTCCTTTTGACTTTTTCTCCATTTGCCAGACTTCTTACAAAGTATTTGCATGAAAACTTTCTCTTATCTTTATTACTAGGAAAGCTAAAACTTGTGCCCATCAAGGGCGGACCACGTTTAACCAATATTCTAGCTATCTCATTGGTGATTATTTCAGACCATAAACCGGGGTCGGATGGAATTATATCGACGCTAGCCTTATTAAAGCCTTCATCGAAAGTGTCACTTGCAGCAGGTATTTCGGTAGCTGACATTACCGAACTTCTTACACAAGCTGGATTATCCGAAGTGGATTGTTCAAGTGCTGTAGACGAGGATGGTGTCATCGCTTCATCGGGCTCTGCATCAGTAGAAGCTGTTTTGCTGCTTACATCAGGACCTGCAACAAGCCGCCACTTGTTGCAGTACCTGATGTTACCTTAGTCGCCTCTGTTGAAATTTCAGATGGCCCACTCTTCACTCACTCACGGTTACTGATATTACGGTTGAGATTCGGTCGCATCGATAGTATCCGTGGAATCTTCATTGTTTTGCAAGAAGTGCTTTAAAGATCCAGCCATTTCCCTTTCTTGTAGTCTCAGTTTCTTTTGCTGGCGAAACTTCGCACCTGAAGGTCTCTTTCTTTTATCCTGAAAAAAAAAACAAATAAATAATTAGTACTCATGGGAATTAGGAATTAACTTCTAAAGTAATCACAATAATAAGCACCAAGTTTTCATATTGCAATAAGTTTTAGTTACAATAATTTTCATAAGTAAAAAGAAATTTGTTCAAGCCCTTTCAGCTTAAACCCTTTCAAAATAAAGGCAGAAAAAGTATTAAACTAATTTGATCTTATAGCCCTTAAAAACCTACAAAATGGTTTTTTAAAAAGATCGATAGCATAAAAACTAAGCGAGTTATGGATAAAAAACCAATTACTTTTTTAAACTCGGACAGAGTCTTTGACTATATTTACGTGCTTCCTAGAGCCTTTATTATGGCAGATAGAAAAAAAAACGTTTTATGCAGAAGATGTAGGTTTTTTCCTATTATTATCTATTGAAGTTATCAGATGAAAACAGGAAACAGACAGGAACAGGAAACAGTTATTAGGATTCCTATAACGGGTTAATGTTGATAGTATAAAGTTAGGGAACACCTACCATTTTATAAAAAATCAAACCGTTGAAATTGCAGTCAGCAGGTATTCAGCACTTAATTTAAAAAAAAAAGTAGTTAACAAAATATTATATAACATTTGACAAAATAAAAATAATTTTAAATGTAAAAATTAATACGATTACTTGTTATTATGCACTTGTTGCACGGTCCAGTGAACTAACCGGTTTAAAAACGCCTCTTTTTTTTTGCGCCCGAAGCAAATATGGGCAACCCTCCGGAAAGCGGGGGAGGGAGGCGGTGAATGCTCATAGCATACCACGCAGCCGACTGCGTGGTTATGTGGATACTTTTACCCACTAAACACCGCCTTTTAGGAAATGGCTTAACGATCTGACTAGAGATCTCTAAGCCGTATACGAACGCGACCCTCCTTGGCAGAAAGGAGGGCGCAGAAAAAAAAACGCCTCTGGCGATGCATCGCTTTTATAGCGCTCCGGGCATTGTTCGTGTCTGAACAGGAAAAATCAACACACACACACACACACACACACACACACACACACACACACACAAATAAATATATATATATATATATATATATATATATATATATATATATATATATATATATATATAAACGACAAAATACAATTTTTACGATTTGTCTAACTTTATGAATTTTTAAAACGGAAACTAAAGATATTTATTTATTTTTGCTTCGGAATAAAGGTAAATACATTCTAAGTGATGTTTAAAATAAATAATTTTTATATTAATTATTGTAGCCATAAAGGATAATTTCACTTAACAGTGACTATCGTTTTGAAGTATTTTGCTCGATGGGCTCTTAAGCAGTTGATGAAATACGATAGGTCGATATTATATCCGATAATTTCGATGAACCTACTGACGCATTATTGTTTTTATTGCTCGGTATAAACACAACGTGTAAAAGTACCCATAGCCAACATTTTGATTAAATTTGAATTAAAATCTGAGTTTGATACGGCTTTCAAAAACTGGCCATAATTATATTTACTAATAAAATCATAATTTTATAAAACACTAAAAGACCCTTCACTACTAGCCGTATGAGGAAGCTCAAAGTCACTTAGGGAGCTACAGAGACAGCTATTCTCGGGGTTTTCTGCATGGTAAATATAGAAATAAGGATATTCACAGTAGATCCAGAGAGCCCCACATAGCCCAACGGATTAGTAAGCTGAAGTGGCAATGGGCCAGCCATATAGTTCGAAGAATCGACAACCAATGTGAGGAAAATGGTTCTCGAGTGGCAGCCTCGGACCAGTAGGTGAAATGCAGGTGGATCAAAACCGTGCTTCGTGGCACCTCTTGGGGGGGACTATGTTCAGCAACGGGCTTGTGAAGGGCTGTAGATAATTAATGTAAAAATCCTAAAAATCACTTTTACCAACGCTGAACTCATGCGGACTACGATGATCGATAAATAATATCGACATAGTCCTCGCCTTACGTTGCTTGCGCATAATAGACAACGGCACCAATGTATTAACACGCGTACAATTTGATGGTATGCGTAAATACAATGAACACAAACACAAATGTTGTAGTGTGCGTGTATAGTGACGTGATTCAATTTTGCATTTGTAGTGAAGTACAGTAGTTTATTTTTCTTGCCCCCCCCCCCCCCCCCCTGACATTGACAGACTTTTTTGTTTATAAATTAACGCGCATGGCCTCTCCAGTTGGTTTAATACTCAAAGGTGGCGTATAAAATAATATTATAATAAATAAAAATAAAGTAATTAAAATCTTAAGAAGTGACAAAATTATAGAAAGAAAATTATTAAAAGAATATTTTTTTGTAAACATTTATTGATTTTTTAAAAACAAAAATGGAACAAGGAGGAGTATGTCACTTTGTTCAAATTAGACCTAAGGATCTAATAAGCTTGATCATCATGTTTGATGGTAATCATTGCATTTTAAGTTTATTTAAGAAATGTGAATACATCGTAAGAATTGTTTATGGAATGAACGAGGTTATATATTATTATTATTATTATGTGTGCGAGCAGCTATGTATGTCTAGGGATGGAGACCAGTATCACTGCGACCTAAAAGATCTATTGTGATCGCTGCTATGGCCATAGTTCACTGCTAAGCCCTATGTCTTCAATCTTCAATGAATAGAAAGAGTTGCTTAGCCGCGAGCAATTTCACTTCTTCTCGGCGGAGCATAGTTTCGCAGATTAGTGTTACGTTTGCGCATCAAGTTCTTAGTCCCAGGATGGACATGCGCTTTTTAAGACAACAGTGTCCAGTGAGGGCCCGTTTAATGCACAATTTATTTTTACTCAATTCGAAGGCGAATTCAGTATTAAAAGCCCGGATTATGGTTTTAGAATGTTTTAAGCCTGGTGTGTCATACCAGATCTTAAGTGATTTATTGTGATAAAGAGTTTCAAGGGTCAATCGGGCTAGGCTTTTTGAGATTCTACAAAATGTCTCAGGTCCAAATTGTGTATTCTTTGAGCCCTCCCGTGCAAGTTTGTCGACAAACTCGTTGACTACAATACCCGCGTGACCGGAACCCATATTATGACGACCCTGTTGTTACATCCCAGGGCGTTTAAACGGCTCACGCAGTCTCCAACTAGCTTCGAGTTCACTAAGTTCGAACTCAGCGCTAGCAGTTCAGCATGACTATCAGAGTTTACATAATTTATATGGTTGACGTACTGTTTTTGCAGATTGATTTCCACACACTGAAGTATCGCGAAAATTTCTGCCTGGAAGATAGAGGTGAATCTACCCAAATGCATACTAAGTATGAATTTAGGGCGTTCCCCGTAAATTCCTAAGCCTACGTCGAGGTCCATTTTAGACCCATCGGTATACCATATTAGGTTACCGACCTCACAGATAGCCTGGCCATTCAGCCAGTCTTCTCTGGAGGGTAGTTCCACTGTATAATTTTTATCAAAAGTGTCAAAGTCTCAGATATCATACGTCCACTAGGACGTATGATATCTGAGATCATGCATAAGACCGGTGTTTCCTTAATTGATTCGAGCATGGATCTCAATCTGTATGAGAGCAAGCTTAGACCGCCCTGGGCGTTAATCCTATACAAACTAGCCTTCGCCTCCTTTTTTGGATAAAGATCATGGGGCGTTAGGCTTAGAAGTGCATTAAGAGCCGCTCCAGGCGATGATCGCATAGCTCCAGTTGCTAATAAGCAGGCAGTCCTTTGGAGGCTATTTAGTCTGTCCGCAGTCGTCCTTTGGTTGGCCTTGTTGCACCAGACAATGGAGGCGTAGGTGAGAATTGGCCTCACTATGCTGCTGTACAGCCATAGGACCATACAGGAACGCAAGCCAATTGTTCCCGACCAAACGACTGCATGTACCTAAAGCAATTTTTGCCTTATGGCATACGTTGCTAACGTGAAAGTTCCACGTTAGTTTTTGGTCGATTATTACGCCCAAGCACTTAACTTCAGTGGAAAATTGTACTTTTTTATCATTGAGTTTTGGTTGAACTAATATGTCCAACTATCTGTTTTTGATGAAGGGTAATGTAACAGTTTTATTAGCATTAAATAATAAACTGTTATCACTACAACAATAATTTATGGTGTTTAGGGCTATTTGTATGATTGTAGATAAAGAACTTTGGCAAAAGCCCCTCGTAATGATCACAAGGTGATCAGAATAACGCCGTGTGTAGGTCTGCCATCTTGTATAATAGTTGATCAACCGCAAGATTCCAAAGAAGGGGTGACAAAAAACCTCCTTGTGGGCAGCCTCTCGTAGTTGCAACCTCAAACGAAGTTTGAAACAGCGCTATTTTTGACATTCTGTTTGAGAGCATCGACTTCACCTATCTGATGGTTGTGGGGTCCACATTTCTAGACGTCAGGCCCCCAATCAGCACTGTTGTGGAGCTACGGTCGAAGGCGCCCTCAATATCTAGAAAGGCACAAAGAGCTATATCTTTATCCTCCAGTGCTTTTATACCCTGTCAATGACACTGATCAGGGCTGTTTGCGTAGATTTGCCTCTGCGGTAAGCATGCTAGTTGTAATGTATGGGCTTTGTAGCTAGAGCTACATCCCTTATATATGTATCTATAACCTTTTACAATGTCTTAAGAAAGAAGTAAGGTAAGCTTATAGGACTTTGGTAAAGCGTAGTCTTTTCTACCAGCCTTAGGTATAAATAGAACTTTGACAATTGTCCATCGTTCTGGTATATATCCCCATGCAAAACTTTCTCTGAAGATTTTGAGCAAATAGGAAAGAAGGATATTGATACCCCTCTGTAGTTGGATGG